GGTGTTAAGAGAGGTGCGGTTGCGGATGTTGTCAATCTCGCAGCGCCAGGCGAAGGAAAGTCTGATGGTAATAAGAGTTTCGGCAATAGTCTATTTCTTAGATAATAATTCATGACACTTATTCTTGTTATTCGCCACCACTATATTATGATAGAAAAAATTGGATTGGATTCTCCGCCACTATATTATGATATGAAGTTCTGGCGTTGTTCTTTTTAGACATTTTCTATCATAACCTTCTTCTCGTGTCTAGTTACGAGAAGGTAGAAAGTTCAGCATTCATAAGAATAAGGTGTCACTTATGATAGTGCAGATACGGTTACATCTTTTGTGGGGAAATGCTTTGGCTACGAGAAGGTACCAAGAATCTGTAAGAAATGGACATGACACTCTTTTGAGCATGGAAACGTACTGAGAATAAAGCAGCTCAAAGCCTTTTTTATATTCTGGAAGCTGCCTGATCACAAGTGCTACATCAAGTCTCAAAAGATGTTTGTCTAAAAATCACGCGTGCTTCTTGCGTGCTAGCCAAGGACAGCTTTAACTTTATATCAAGTTTTAGTGGGGGGGGGTAGAGTGTGAGTGTGTGGACGGTATTTTTCCAAGTAACGACCTTTTGGATCATGTCCATAACCTTCCAGTGGTCATTCACATTGTGAACTTAATTAATTTAATTATTCCCTAGGGTGATTATCAATTACTTTGTTCCCAACATCACAACGCAATTTAATAAGGTTTTATTGATTGAATGGTGAGATAAAACATTATTCGGCTTCTATCCGATTAGTGAACTATTGAACTGGCTTATTAATTAGGCTTTTTCCATTACCAAGTGAAAGCTGAACAATAATAAATGCTTAATCTAAATTCATTTCAATGTCCTTATTATATTCACGATATGAATTATTGATTGGACCACGCTTCTCCTACACTCCAAATCAATATCAAAGCACTATCTTAAATTTGGATGTTTTTATCTTCCAATAACTAGAGATTTCAATATGTTGTACACAAATTAATGTTTTCGTTTCTTTCTTTTAGAATTGATATCTTGATAGAAGCATCATGCCGCAGACATGTAGCATGATGTCCCACTCAGTCACATTGTCCTGACACCAGACCGTCCAACCCTAACACTAACCTCTTAATACTGAGATTCAAACGACGCCGCTGTTAGTACCATTTTGTAAGTCTTTGCTATGACTCGACCGGGGATCGAAACCACGACCTCCCACATCTGAGGCGGACGCTCTAACCACTAGGCCACCGGAGCGGTTTCATGCACTATATACCAAAGAAAAAAAAAACAATGATACACGCATACATGCCTTATACACTAATGAATATAAAAGTATACACGCATACATACATTATAAACCAATGAAAACTAAATGATACACGCACACATGCCTTATACACTAATAAAAACGAAATTATACACGCATACGTGCATTTCATACCAATGAAAACGAAATCATGCACGCATAGATGCATTACATGCCAATGAAAACGAAATGGTACACGCATACATGCCTTATGCACTAATGAAAACGAAATTATACATGCATACATGCATTACATACCAATGAAAACGAAATTATACACGCATACATGCATTATATGCCAATGAAAACAAAATGATGCACGCATACATGCCTTATACACTAATGAAAAGGTAATTATACAAAAGAAAACGAAGATATACACGTAAACATGCATTATATACCAATGGAAATGAAGAGATACACGTAAACATGCATTATATACCGTAATTATACAAATGGAAATGAAGAGATACACGTAAACATGCATTATATACCGTAATTATACAAATGGAAATGAAGAGATACACGTAAACATGCATTATATACCATAATGATACAAACGGAAATGAAGAGATACACGTAAACATGCATTATATACAAATGGAAATGAAGAGACACACGCATACATGCATTATATACAAATGGAAATGAAGAGATACACGCATACATGCATTATATACAAATGGAAATGAAGAGATACACGCATACATGCATTATATACCAAAGGAAATGAAGAGATACACGTAAACTTGCATTATATACAAATGGAAATGAAGAGACACACGCATACATGCATTATACACCAAAGGAAATGAAGAGATACACGTAAACATGCATTATATACCAATGGAAATGAAGAGATACACGTAAACATGCATTATATACAAATGGAAATGAAGAGATACACGCATAAATGCATTATATACCAAAGGAAATGAAGACATACACGTAAACTTGCATTATATACAAATGGAAATGAAGAGATACACGCATACATGCATTATATACCAAAGGAAATGAAGAGATATACGTAAACATGCATTATATACAAATGGAAATGAAGAGATACACGCATACATGCATTATACACCAAAGGAAATGAAGAGATACACGTAAACATGCATTATATACCAATGGAAATGAAGAGATACACGTAAACATGCATTATATACAAATGGAAATGAAGAGATACACGTAAACATGCATTATATACAAATGGAAATGAAGAGATACACATAAACATGCATTATATACAAATGGAAATGAAGAGATACACGTAAACAGGCATTATATACCGTGAGTTCTAAACAACTCCAAAAAGAATGAAAATTCCGTATAAATTTTAAAACAGGGAATGAACGGGTCTCCCATGAATTGTGGCGCTGTCAAGCTGGCATTATCTATAACTCCTTGGAATGATTCACGTCAGTTCCAGAATGATATTATTTTTCAAATAACGAGTACTTGATATTTCTAATAAACTGTAAAAGCAAATGTTACCTCTCCAGTAATATACAAGTTCAACATAAAACACATCTACAGACTTGCAAGGATCCCCCTCTGTCCACCCCTATGTAGCCACCAATGTAAACGAAACTACAGTTTTAAAATGGGATTTCCCCCAATCGACCTTCCCATTTAATCCTATGGCATAATATCAGGCCCGTAGAGACCCATATAAATGTTTATGTTTATTGTTGTTCTCTTGTCATGAATATCAACAAAAATATTTTTTTACATTTTGGTTGTGTTGATATTATTGGAGAGGAACACGTGCTCACTTTTAGCAAGCTATTTAGAAACATTACATGACGACTGTTGACGACTGTTGACTCCATCAAACGAAACTTACTTTAAGATTGAATAATAAAGTTGTTCACGCAAAACTGCCTTACTGGTCCTGAGTCAAAAGATACAATGTTTCTACTAATGGTCAAAACGAACTGAACTGAAGTTTCCGGGAAAAAGGCAAATCCAGTGAATAAAGTTATCATTACAATAATAGGAATGAAATAAAAATAAAATCAAAATTTGCTAATTAGGATATATGGTGTGTTGGATCGAATCTAAAAATTAAATACAGTGCTATTTCGGTTTGCCCTTCACCTCCAATGTTTCGACGCTTGGTTCTAGCAAACTTAATCCCTATAAAACATTTTACCCATAATACCATCACAATGTCAAACCTAAGGAAAGTTCTGTACATGGGACTTTATCTTATCCCCGTAGTCTCAACCATTTTATCGTTTAATTTATATCTGTGAACCTCTATTCTACACTAGACAATCTTCACCGCTCCGTTGACCTAAGTGGTTAGATCGTCCGTCTTGGATGTGGTCTTCATGGGTTCTATCCGCGGCCGAATCATATAAAGACTGTTATAGATGGTAATAGCAGCTGATTCGCTTGGCGGTCAGCTTGGTAAGAAGTTCGTGTAAGAACTGGTCGTCCTGGTGTCAGGATATTGTCACTGGGTGGGGCAAGATAATGATACACTAAGATAAATTATGTTGAGATTTGCTCCGAGACAACGAAATCCCAGTGAATCGCTCATATTTTTTTTCCCGAAGTGGTTCTGTCGAGGGGCATGAGTCAAAAGAAATGTAACCCGTGCGACTGGGATTTCCTTTTCTTGGTACAATATCTGATATTATATTTCTCATTCATTTTTTCCCATTTAAATGAAAATCACCCTGCACTTTTGCAAAATATTTCGCAATATTCATAACATAATATTCATCAAGTACTATGCTTTCCTATAACTCTTTATAAAAGTCATCAGATTGGTTCATGAAAATGTGAATAATTATCTACGTATAATCTAGCTATGCATGCTGCCGTTAAACAGAAACAGAAAATCAACTAGAAGACTTCTAATTGTCACTTGTTTCATGTATTGCATAATAAGCATCTCGAATCACGTGATTGATTTTTGTAAACGCGCATTAATATGAATATGTTAAAAAGGTTAATGAGGGCAAAGGGGTGCCATGTTGACTCTTAAGTAAAGAAGTTCTAATTATGAGTAAATAGAAACCTAAAATCATTGGATATTACAGTTTGTCACATTTAATCAAAGGATGACGATACAAATATTAATTAATATCTTATGTAGATAACTTTTAATTTTCATCAGATCTAATTTTGAAAATGTTATAAGGAAACATAGGACACGATGAAGAACAAAGGTCTATCGAAGTGTGTAATGACTGATTAGCTTTCTAATTCATGATATTCTGAAAATCTATATTTGTCCTGGAATATGGCAATTGTTGCTATTACTGGTACAATGAAATGCTACATGGAAATCTCGTGGAAAAGCGTGTGAAAATATGAATGAACTACTTTTATTAGCAAGTGTAGGAGTTATCATTTCTTTACATGTTTTGATTCAACTGACGCTAGTTTGGGGTGTTTGTGTGTGTGTGTTTGTGTGTTTGTGTGTTTGTTTAATTTTTAAAGTAGCTTTAAAATATAATTCAGTAATGTCTTTTGGATATCCGCAGTGTGATAGTTTAAAGCGATGTCTAGCATTTGGGCATCATGCTGCGGACACGGGTTATCATTTCCACCCATCCACATTATCCTGACTTCAGGCTAACCGTCCTTACACTAACTTCTCAATGCTGAGGCAGCTGCTAGTACCGTTTTTTTATATGAAATAAGTCTTTGTTATGACTAGGGTGGGCTCGAAGACGCGACCTTCCATTTCCAAGACAGACGCTCTAACCACTAGGCCACCTGAGCCTTGGGGGTGTTTGACAAAGTTTGAAGAACGCGTGTACGCCATAACAGATTTCAGATTGTTTTCATTTTTGCTGATGCTAATGAGAGAGAGAGAGAGAGAGAGAGAGAGAGAGAGAGAGAGAGAGAGAGAGAGAGAGTTGTGTGTGTGTGTATTTTGAGGCCAGTGATGTGCACATGTGTATCTGTAACAGTAGTTTTATAGTTCGTTAAACACAGCATCGTGAATTTTATCCTATCTTTAGCGCGATAAAATGTCATGTCAGCGTTATTAATTCCAGCTAAAAGTATCTGATTCGTTTCACACGAAGTATTTAAAACTAATTAGATACTTCAACTTACATTTAATGACGTTAACCGGAAAATTTACTTAGATACAGGTACGAAATAAATTCGCCATCCTTTGTGTCGTTTCTAGCATATTAACAAACAACTCAACTTCGTGTGTATCTGTCCATCTCCAACATTTTTACCGTGTGTTGTCAGAGCTGGAAAGACCTTAAGTTGCTTAGTGATTGAATGTCTTTATTTTATATACCTGTTGTTGTTGTTTAATGGTATACAACTTCGCCAGGCACAGCAGAAGAAACCGGAGTCTCGTCTTGTTAAAAATAGTTGCTAGCGCGTGTACACCATGGTTGAGACGACCCAATTGCCATACTGCAGACATCGCAGCGATATGACTCAAATTATTAAAGCGACGTTAAACACACACACAAACAAACACACACACACGCACACACTCCTCAATGAAAATAATTTATTAATTAATTCGTATTTGATCACTTTTAAAACCTCAGTTTCGCATTTTTTGCTTTTTATATTTCAATGGCCCTGTTTTGTAATTATGTCATCGCTGAAAAAGTAACGGTAGATGGGTTAGCCAACGACAATTTCTGCTCACAGAAATAGCGGGACTGTTGTTTTAAATAAATGAGAATTTTACTTAACATAATGGCAAAATCTCGTTAAGTGCTTGAGATGCAATTCATTTCAATGGTACCATGCATTTAAATAGATTTATGCCAACGGGACCATGCATTTAAATCACTACAATCCAATGGGATCATATGTTGAATAGTTTCATCCCGCTGGAACCATGCATTTAAATCACTCTATCCCAATAGAACAATGTATCTCAATCACTATCCCAATAGATCCATGCATTTAAATCACTATAACCCAATGGAACCATGCATTGAAATCACTCTATCCCAATAGAACAATGTATCTCAATCACTATCCCAATAGATCCATGCATTTAAATCACTATAACCCAATGGAACCATGCATTGAAATCACTCTATCCCAATAGAACAATGTATCTCAATCACTATCCCAATAGATCCATGCATTTAAATCACTATAACCCAATAAAACCATGCATTGAAATCACTCTATCCCGATGGAACCATGCATTTAAATCACTCTATCCCAATGGAACCATGCATTTAAATCACTCTATCCCAATAGAACAATGTATCTCAATCACTATCCCAATAGATCCATGCATTTAAATCACTATAACCCAATGGAACCATGCATTGAAATCACTCTATCCCGATTGAACCATGCAATTCAATCACTCTATCCCAATGGAACCATGCATTTAAATCACTCTATCCTAATGGAACCATGCATTTAAATCATTCTTTCCCAATAGAACAATGCATTTCAATCACTATCCCAATAGATCCATGCATTTAAATCACTCTATCCCAATGGAACCATGCATTTAAATCACTCTATCCCAATGGAACCATGCATTTAAATCACTCTATCCCAATAGAACCATGCACTTAAATCACTCTATCCCAATAGAACAATGCATTTCACTCACTCTATCCCAATGGTACCATGCATTGAAATCACTCTATCCCAATGGAACCATGCATTTAAATCACTCTATCCCAATAGAACCATGCAACTCAATCACTCTATCCCAATAGAACCATGCATTTAAATCACTCCATCCCAATGGAACCATGCATTTCAATCATTCTTTCTCAATATAACCATGCATTTAAAACACTATCCCAATAGAACCATGCATTTAAATCACCCTTTCCCAATGGAACCATGCACTTAAATCACTATCCCAATGGAACCATGCATTTAAATCACTCTATCCCAATGGAACCATGCATTTAAATCACTCTATCCCAATAGAACCATGCATTTAAATCACTCTATCCCAATAGAACCATGCACTTAAATCACTCTATCCCAATAGAACAATGCATTTCACTCACTCTATCCCAATGGTACCATGCATTGAAATCACTCTATCCCAACGGAACCATGCATTTAAATCACTCTATCCCAATAGAACCATGCAATTCAATCACTCTATCCCAATAGAACCATGCATTTAAATCACTCCATCCCAATGGAACCATGCATTTCAATCATTCTTTCTCAATATAACCATGCATTTAAAACACTATCCCAATAGAACCATGCATTTAAATCACCCTTTCCCAATGGAACCATGCACTTAAATCACTATCCCAATGGAACCATGCATTTAAGTCACTCTATCCCAATAGAACCATGCATTTAAATCACTCTATCCTAATAGAACCATGCATTTCAATCACTCTATCCCAATGAAACCATGCATTTCAATCACTCTATTCCAATGGAACCATGCATTTCAATCACTATCCCAGTGGGATCAAGCAGTTAAATATATTTTTCTCAATGGGATCCGGTATTAAATACAAGTCAGTAAAAATCCCTTCGTCCCATTTGCTAAGCTCCAGATATAAAATAACAGTATAAGCAATCTATACTCTACTGGTCTGAAATAATATTGTGGCATTCGCTCCCTAAACATTACCGCGGGGCGAGTCTTAAGCTCTTACGGAAGGTTACCTGAAAGGCTCGAGACCCTGAATCTGGAATCAGCAAAGGCCATATATTGCACCACCTCACACATGTGTTACAGTTTAGTCCCGCGGGGTGAGCGGGGCGTTTCTTACCCGTCCCCACTTTGACCTGCAGTGAGAGGGACATTGTCCGCTAGGTTTGATTGGATCGGTTCACAGCAATATCCCCCCAGGAATTGAGACAGAAGGTGTAATTGCAATTTAGATCCGAATTATAACTCTCAGAACTCTTAAGACGAAAGTCTGCTTTGCCTCGGATGATTGTTGAGCAATATTCCGAGTCACTATAATTTGGCGGTAAAACTTGGAGGTAGATTCTTAGGAAAGACAAAGCGTCGAAAAAGTCAGAAAGTTATTTGCTGGACTTTTGAGGAATATTACGGCATCATGATTACAATTATTTGTGGTATGTAAACCTAGTTACTAGAATCGTTTAGAATGTTGAATTACCTTTGTAGTGTTTCATTTACATGCGTATTTGACAAATGGGCTTGAGAGTTACTCAAAGAATTATGTAGATTGTTAGCCTGTTGTTAGAATCAATGTTGTAATTCGATACTAGCTCAATTCGTAGTAAGGCATTGCATTTATTAATAGGTTATGTTAGAATTTACAAAGGCTAAAGTTGTGAATTTGGAAAATGTTTGAAAAGTATGATTAGTTACTACGGATGTATGCATATCTCAGAGCATGGATATTTGAATATATGTGCACTTTTGAGTGTAAGGCTTACAAGAGTCACAAAGAAATGCGCCTGATTATTGTGATATTGTTTAGTATAACGGGATTAGGAATATGCATTGATGTGACGCAATTTATTGATGTATACATAATAAGTAATTGTTTCCGTGATGTATTTTGACGTTTGTTTTACTATGCAAGAAAGTGAGTAAATCGATGTGAATGCAAGTGTGACCGAAGAAATGCAATAGCCGTTATCTAATGGTAGGTTGCGTGTAGCGTGAGATGAGAGGGCTAAAGGAAAATATTGTGCCGTCCTTCTGTTTTCACAGGAAGCTTTTTAGGTGGACCGAACTTCCGGTTTAATTAAGTCTCAAGTGTTACGTATCGGCTTTTTCAAAGTAACACAAAAAGATTGAAGACAACAAGCTTTTAACATTTTTTAAAAAAATAATTTATTTCCCTAGAAAACATGGAGTAAAGTTCAATATATGAAAGAAGACTTACGATTTACGAAAGATATCCAATTTTCTTTATAAATATATGAAAATACACAAGTCTTATGAACAGTTCTAACTTGACACAGTCTGAAGTTCAGTTCCGGTCCAAGATGGCGGATGATGACGTCAGACGAAGACTAACATAAAAATCCAGAAATTTGCACTGTGAAGCACAATTTATATTATTCCGATCCAATTTAGAAGAATTTCAGAAAATATCTTTGTACAAACCAGTAGTGTTGTTCTCCAGGAAAAAATAAATATTTTGAAAGTAGACGAAGTACAATTATCACCACTAACAAAACACATGTCGTTCTACGTAGACACACGAACAGACAACTTCTTCCAGCACAAAAGTACCTTTGTAAGGTAGTAGACGTTAGGTGACTATGATGTTGAAATCGGCTACGACTCTGACATAACTTTCTTACAAATAACTAAGCGTATTTAAACAAGCTAATACTTCGTTTCATGTACACACGCACGAAAGACGTGTAATTTTGCAATGCAACTGAACATTAGGAAAGCTTGAACACGTGTCAGCCAATCATTTGCATAGCTACTTCTGAATGTTGACTTGCGACGGATTTACTATCATACAAAGCTTGTGCTTACACGAGTCACACTTAAGATGTAAACACGATGATTTGAACAAAAAATTAGACCGATGATGATGATGATGATGAAAATAATAATAATAATAATAATAATAATAATAATAATAATAATAATAATAATAATAATAATAATAATAACTACATTTAATGATACAAAAATGAAATAAAAATGAAATTAAAATATTTATACAGAATTCATTTCTTAATACACGGGAGACGGAACTGAGACTAGCCGAACAGTCGAAGTGGACAGAAGTCTAGTCGTTGGAGTGAAGGTGGAGAGAAAGTGGAGGAGGAAAAGGTGTCTGGAGGTGA